AACTGACCCGGCCAAAACCTGCTAGGACGATCCCAAATTGAATCGCTTCCACCTTTTTAGTGTTACCGACATGAAGTTTCCTCAAGAAGCGGGCAAGGACACGCCAGCGTGGAACCTTCTACTTCGTACTTCGGCAAAAGCAGACGCGCATTGTCGGTTGGATTGGTTTCGGAAAATATACGTGCCATAATCAACGACGGGCGATGCACTCAAGACGAGCCTTCGCGGGGATGTGCCGAGGCCCTCCTAAGAGTGAACGTACAGCGGCTGGAAGAAACACCAAGTCGGCTGTAGAACTGCCGCTGCTATCCTCGGCAGGATCAACCACAATATTCATGAGCAGCCGTTCGCCGGCCCAGGTCGTTCTTACCTACATAGATAGTTCCTTTCTACGCCCTGTACTTAATACTCAGTGACATTGACATTCATCTCCTGTCCCTCACCTAGTTGCTCCTAAATATGTCGATGATTACGGATCCATGTCATATCCTCTGTGAACGCACTACCCCCCCTCCCGCCAGCACCGACGGGTTGAACGTGGAATGAAAATGTTTGACAATACCCCGCCGGGGCTACCGCTATGCTACCGTTGGGAGCGCCCCCGGAGCGTCCCCTTTTCGCTTGACATTTTTTTGTGGCCGCTCCCTCGGCATTCCCATCAAATTCTTACGCACTACTATAGTAAGACTGTCCCCGCCGTCGGTGTGTCATCCTGCTGTTCGGAATTGTTGTCTGTCTTTGCTTGCTTCTCTATATATCTTTGAGAACATTTATATCCACCAAACGTTTGTAGATTCGGGCACCAACTCCCCGCTACGCCTGCAGATAAGCATACGGGTTACACTTTGGCAGGTATACGCAACGTCAGACTGTCGTGCAGTACCGCCGGACTCACGAAGCATCAAGCGAACCTCCTGTTGCGCCCAGTGATCACGTAGACCAGAGTTCGGAATAAACGCATGGATGGCCGGAGGCAAGAGAGACGACGGCAAAAATAAAACGCCGAAATTAACCAACGAACAAATTTGGTCACCAAGTTGCTCGTGTTCTGGTGTGCTGCTTTTGGTGGATGTTGTTTACATAGGCCCAATATCATGGGTTCCGACGCGAGAGGTCCGCGGCAACATTTATCAGTATTTGCCTGGTGTATCAAACAGAACTAAAGGAGACTATCGCCCCCGGGGACTTTTCGCCCCGGGGAGATATTTTGTTGTATATTTTCGAAGTCCCCGGCAAAAACTGCACGCCAAAACATGTTTATGTGTAGCAACCCCGCGTTCAGCAAAGAGGATACTCTGGCTGAGCCCATGTAGTTGATAAGTACAATAAATGCGTGTGAGTCACAAGGCACCAGCAGATCAAAGTCTACTTAAAATGAGATGGATCTGTCAGTGATGCAGGGCCCGCGCCAGGAGTGCGTGCTCGGGAAACCAGTGAGAGCGCCACCACCACTTGTTTCCATACTCAACATCTTCGATGCCCAATACCTCATATTGTCCCTAATACCCAAAGGCAAAAAAACAGCGCCTGGCCAAAGGCTAGATGTAAACCCACGAAACACGAAAAGACTACCCTGTAACACCAGCAGCTTATCATGTAGGAGTATGCAGTGCTCAGGGTGCACTCAAAGTAAATTTGTCAATTTTTCCTACTTCATTTCTTCGCAACCACTTTATTGTTTTTCTTTCGAATTGCATTGATCAATATTTTCTGTGGCCTACGGAGGGAGACTTCCCCCGTACCACACGTCCCGCACGGCACAAAGCCTCCGCGGTATCCTAACGTGTCTCTGCTACTAAACACAAATCTCCCTTCGAATACCACCAGACGGGACGAAACTGTTGTACAGTAGTAGCAGTCTCGGACGATTGAGCCTCCCAATGGTACGCTACCATTCAGAAAACACCCCATGCTAAGCTAACTTGCTTCTACATAGCAAAGGTGGCTCCTCCGAGTCACAGAAAATATCAAGAGGCCTCTTCAAAGTGAGCCCACATTCGTAACATCTCTCCTATCCCCCACCTTCGAAAGAAAAGGGGTGGGTGGGTGGGAGAAAAGCCACGACATGATTGCTAACTATCGTCCAAATTTCGATGTAGCTAGCTGCTGCCCTTCTGCCGCGTGACCCAAAGCGACAACAAACTTTCATATTATTCTGCCGAGCACGACAACTCGCGTTCATTGAAGTCTGGATTTCTCTGGGCCCGTTTACGATGTACCCTTGACGCTCACCAGGTAGTTAGTTGCCTGTCGCCTCGGAAGACGTTGGCGTCACTGGACCAGTTACGGGCGGGTGGCATCTACGGTATTGATTGAGTATTGACCACAGAGGCCAGAACGGTTTCGAGTCTCATGCGACGAACTACATATTGAGCGACACCAACATACAGCCTGGCACCCCGGAGAAATACAGGAAAGGACAGGTCGACCGAAAGCCCCCAGAGCCAAATAGAATAACGAGTACACACTGCTCTCCCGAGACTGGATCGTTATAGGACAAATGGACACTATTGTAGCAAAGCAACGCATTTTCCTCAGCCGGTTCCTACGTTTTCATTTGGCGTTTTTTTTTTTGCTGGTCTTCATAATTTTCATTCCCACAAACCTCGGCACGCCTTGCACACGGAATCCTGGTAAAACCACAGACACTGAGGGTACGCTCCCCCGGTATGTCAGTGGTGGGGTGGACACACAAAACGCCATCGCATGCATATATCGTGCATTCCTCCACTACGTAGAATGGTGATGTTCTGCGGAGTAGTGTATCACCTCTCGTAACGGTCAGGATTTCCGGACCGTTGGAAGATTTAAGGAATAATAAATACACACACAGAAAGACTCCATTCGAGATACCCACAGTCGAACGGAATGTGGTGGAGTCTTTTCAGTGACCGTTGGAAGATGTGACCCGAGAATCGCACGGACATCGATTGATCAACCGGGCAATCGAACAACAATAGCCTAACGGCATTGTTATATAACGCAAGCTCCATGATAGAATGGGGAATTGCGCATTGCATACCCTCAACTATCTCAGTCTCTGGGCGCAATACTCTCTTTCCCCGACCTGGTGATACATATGCACCAGCGCCAGGGAGTCCGCGCGCCTGAAAACTCTACTCTTCAATACGATATCTACCGCTTGCTGCGTCTCCATCCATATGGTACAAATATGCATATCAGTATCATATCTTTCGAGGAGACATGTGTACGCAGACAGGGTATACACCTAGATACGGTGCCCATTCGTTCGGCCTCTCGGAGACACTACCTGCCACCATTCACACACTCACTTCACTTACCTATGGTGGGAGACTTCTCAAGGAGCGATCCCGACGCAGCAGCACGTGATTTGCTCAATGTATCAGCCGGCAACAACAGCAGCGCGGACCCGACAGCACTCGCCAACCGAATAGCTCCCGCAACAAGGGGGCGTGCCGGATGACTACCACGGCACGCCATGCCAGACCACAGCCGTGAGTGAAACGCAGGTTCAGCTGCAACCCACCCTGCACCGAGGCCGCACGGTGCGGCGTACGATGCTATGTATGCCGCATGCAATGGTTTGTTCAGTTCCGAAAAGGCGACACAACAGCGACAGGAAACTGCGATAGCCGAGAGCCCACACATCAGAAGAAATATCGAGGAAAACTATCTCGGGTAGGCGGGTGGCCGACAGGAGATTCAGAAGAAATAGTTTAATTTCTTTGTTGGACCCCCATGTATGGGAGGTGTGCCAAAAATATAGCAGGGATCCGTGTAAAATCGCCGTTGTTCCGTTCTGTTGTTATTCTGTTCCTGCCGCCGCGGGGATTTGGGCGGGATGGTTGGAAGCAGGACAACCGGACAACAACACCGGAATCGGGATTCAGAAGAAAGAAAGCGCTGGTGATGCTGTTGTTGCCTGTGCCGTCTGTGGGAGTGTTAAGTACTGAGTGTGATGTCTCGGTCTTGGGCGCATACATCGGTAGGGATCACACTACACTGTACGGGTTACACTGCTGGAAATCCCTACTTGTCCTTTTTTGGCGGGGGGCGAGGGGGGGGGAAGGGGGGGGACGCAAGGGCACCGCAGCTACAACAAGTCCCTGGCATCAAGCAAACGTATATGAATAATCTTACTTATCCTTATACCTTTGCCTGGCATTTTTCAGCAGACAGACGTGGAGTGTTGAACTCCGTACTATGCATGCATTGTAGTTGAGGAGAGACTTATACTACGTACAACACACATGATGACCTGCAGTATGACACTTTCGGAAACTTCTCACATCAAGCAATTGTAGGCAGTAAGCACATACATACGGCGGGGATGCCCCAGGAAGGTGTAGTGTGTCTCCCCCCGTATTGTATCAAAGAGAGCGAGGGAACAGCAGCACTGCTGTGTTTCATCAGAGGGTCGACCGTCCAGGCGTTGCTACGCGTGGAACCCTCACCACATTTACGTGTTGGCGTCGTCGACTTGCGTCGACAGGTATCACACACACACACCTTTTTCCGTCCGAATGACTACGATCGGCTTGTTGCCGTTTGGTACATCCTTTTGTTCTACCATTTTCTGCTTGTTGTCCCGTTCTGACAACTCACCTGTTCTTCGGTTGTGGTATTTATTGTTCGTTTCTTCGGTTTCTCAAACGGTCTGTATCGATCGTTGTCGTTGCCGTCATGTTCTCTTCTCTTGCCCGTGTCGACTCTGCTCTTAAGACTGTTCCAGTTTCAAAACTCACTTTATCGGTCCGTAGAAGCACCAGCAACAACAACAACAACAACAACAACAACAATCGTAGAGGAGAGGGGACCGGAGAACCTGAAATTTTCGCAAACGAGCGGGTCACCGCGCCCTAAAACTGTTAGAACGGCTTCCGGTCCGTCTTAAATCGCCTCGTCTACTTTCCCCGCTGCGGCCAGATGCTGATGTTTCCGCCGAAGAGATGGCGGACACCCTATCCCAGCTAAGGCGAACACGGTCTGGGCAAGAGCTGGTGGCTTCGATCGATCTTGCCGTCTTTTGGGGACGCCTTGTACGTTCCACGCCGTGCGGATCGCGGTCAGTCCTTGTGCGCCCAGCAGGCGACACTTTTGTTTCCCGCCCGCGACGTGTTGCCCTCACAGATGTCGAAAATGACGGCCTCGAGCATACGCTTCGACGGACCATCGTAGAGGGAGAGCCTTCTTTTCGACTACGTGGGGGCCGCTGCTGCTGCTGCTGGCGCTGACCATGCCGGGATGTCATGCCACGGGCTGAGTTCTCCAGGAAGTTTGCTATGACAGCATTTCCATTCCTTTCGCGACCTCCGGAAGGATACGTCTCGGTCAGTCTGTCATCATGGCCACCACCGCTACCACCAAGGCGTCCCAAAATCTTCCCTTCAAGGTCGGAAATCTCCCGTTTCAACTCTCGCAAGCCGTCCTTAGGGGCTGGCTCCTGCTGCTGATGTTGCCTACCATCGGTGTCAGTCGTCAAGCCTTGTTCGTTTCGTACATCCGGATCAGGACACCTGCCTGCTTCCCCAATGCCCTCGGCGTGGCTGCCGCTCTCGTTGTCGCTTTCGTGCCCCCAGCTCGGCAAACTGGAGAAGGGAGGACAAGATGAGGAATTCAAGAAGTTCGTTTCGCCAGTCCTAGCTAGCTCACCGTCCTTGTTACGCGCCGGCTGAGATGCACCTTGTGGTTCCATCGGGTGCTCTTGCTCAGTGGCGGCCTCCTCTCTGAAGTTCCCGTTGAGATTGGGGTTTCCCTTTCGGTTTTCGGGTCTGTCAGGAGCGGGATCACCAGTCCCAGGCACAGGGCTATTGACCTTGGAACTGGGGGTTGTAGTTGCGCCTTCCTCGAACAAAGACCTTGGGTTTGCTAATGGTCGGTGGTCGAGACTGGCGCGCAGGCTGAGGTCGGCGGAGTTGCGTAGCTTGGCCTCCGCCTCCCGCAACGCAAGATCCGCCACTTCACGTCGTTCGTCGGCCACGCTTTCTGCCGCAATCCGTCGGGCCGCCGCCACTCCTCCTGCACCGATGTTGGCATTGAAAGCAAGGGTAAGCTTCGACGGCTACAGTATCACAAAGGGTGTGTGGGTGTGTATGACGCATGACCTTGCTCGGGTTTTATCGACCATGCCACGTACATTCGGGAATTGTTTGGGTAGGCATACACCAGTATGCCTGGCGAGCGGCGATACCCGTGCGTGTAATGTACTCAGAAGTTCACCGAGTGGCTGAACATAAAAGAGTGCATACCCGCAACGTAATCCAAGGTATCTCCTCTCGTGTTCTCAACGATGCTACTGGCTATGGCGCATTTACCACATATATAAGGGGGCCGACGGTACATATGAATACTCACCAGGGCACGTTTCAACACCTGTGCATGCGATGTACTCAGAAGTTCACCGAGTGGCTGAACAATAAAAGAGTGCATACCCGCAACGTAATCCAAGGTATCTCCTCTCGTGTTCTCAACGATGCTACTGGCTATGGCGCATTTACCACATATATAAGGGGGCTGACGGTACATATGAATACTCACCAGGACACGTTTCAACACCTTCCGAAGACAAGGATCTTGCCTGACTCCACACACATCCTCAGGGTCGCACAGAAATGATTACCTTCGTGGCTAGTGCAGTCAAATTCTGCCTCGTTGGACTTGATTGTATCAGCCTCCGATCCGGCCACGCGCAAGGCTTCTGCAAGCACAGACCCCGCAGCAGTGCGCCTCTCGTCGGCAGCGACGGTGCACCTCTCAAGCGCAGACCGAGCGTCCGCCGAGGCAGCAAAAATTCGAAATTCTAACCCCGCTGTATCGCTCGCCCTACCGCCGCGGCCCTGGCGGCCCCCTTTACCCCGGCCACCGATATCCAGGCCTGCCTTCGCGCATTTCGATCGTAACTCCTCGATCTCCAGCCCTTTGCGCCGCAGGGTGCTTTCGGCGATAGCGATGCGTTCCTCGGCGGCGGTAGCCGCTGCTCGAAGGCGGGCGTTGCCCTCGTTCCTCTCACGCAGCTCCTGTGTGTTGCGGGTGGCTTCGAAGCCAAGGTCTTGCTCGGCTCCCGCGAGCCGGTCCGAGAGGGCAGCAGCTTGCGCGGCCGCCTGCTGAGCTTCCGAGTCCAGCTGGGCGAAGAGAACCTTGAAAAACGGGGGCGCATCCGCAAAGAACGCACGGAGTAGACGAGTGAACAAAGTTGTTCGATGTAAATTGACCTTCGTCTGCGGTAAGGCACCGCGCGCGGTCGTGGACGAAAAATCCGAAGCGGTATGTACTCTTCCAACATCCCACGCTGAGCAGACAAACTATGCATGCGGTACCGAGATAATGGACGCCCCACCGGTTGGAATCGCGTACACGGAGACCACCCATGCTACTTGCAAAAATATTGTACCCAGGTAGTTCTCAAACTAGTGCACCTCGTGCTGCTCTGCCTGCGCCTTCAGCCGGTTCCGCTCCGCCAAAGCACTTTCGAGCGACTCTGCGGTCGCGGCTGCCTTCCGCGCTGCCTCCAATCTCAGCCGTTCCTCCTGCTTCGCCGCCACCGCCTCTCTTTGCCGCAGTTCCCGAGTCTCCGCTTGAAGCTTGATGATCAGCAAGCTCTCCTTTTCTGTGAGCTTCGTCGGGCCCATCTTCCCCCTCCCCCGGGAACGAAAGGGTTCTTCGACGACTGCTGCCGCAACTTCCCCATCTCCACCTTCCTCACCTTCACGCTGCACAGTCATGAACCCATCATGCCACGGCAACGAGGGTTCAACCAAGGCCGGACCTTTCCCTTCGGCGCCCGTGATCATGTTTGGCGGGGAAGAGAGCGGCGGCGGCGGCTTTTGCTGCTGCTCCTTCACCTGTTGACGAAGGACCTTGGCGTACCGCGCTCGCTCCCGTTCGGAGCGGGCGACCTCCTTGGCCATCCCGCATGCGGCTGCGTGCCACTCTAACGCACGGGCTTTTTCCTGCGCAAGGCCTGCCCGGAGCAAGCTTACCTTCCCCTCCAGCGCAACCTTCGCGGCGATAGCCGTTTGTACAGGAGCAGTAGCCTCCTCAACAACAACGCCCATGTCTCCTCTCGGCCGGTAGCCATTGTTGTACCTAGTCGTGTCTTCACCACGGCTGATGTGGCTTCTTTCCGCAGTGGCCGCTGCTGTGGCGGTTGCTGCCCGGCGGCCTGAAAGACTGAACGCGCGAAAGCCCACTGCGAGGGCGAGGCGCCGCCGTCGTGCTGCGGCCCGTCTCGTGAGGGAGTGGATTGCCGCCACGCGGCGGCGGGTGGACGTCCATGCAGAAAAGCATACGGAGAGGGCAGCGAATCGGCGCCGTCGGGCAGCTGCCGCCGTCCAAGCCTTTAAAAGAAGCCCAACGACAACAAGCGATCGGCGACAGAGATGGGGCAGGGAATATTGGCAGGGGTGAAAACAAGGTATCGGATATTACTTCAGAGCCCATCATCGAGGCCAGAGCAACGGCAGCGTCACGTGTATAAAACTGTTTTTGCCTGATCAATGACGATGGCCATGAGACGTTCTTCGCAAGCAGCTACAAAACAGAAGCAACGATATGTTTCACTTACGGGCACACAACCCCCCACACCCATGTCAACAGGGAGGATTCAGCCCTTCCGCCGAAGGCAAAGTCGGGAAAGTGAGTACGCGCTCAAAACCTGCAATAGCGTTGGCTTAAATAAAAAACACTTGATGGCACCCCAGAAAAGACTGAAGTCGCGTTAAGCTACTATTATCCCGATCTTCTACTAGCACACGTCTGGCACAGCTGCCAGCTACCTGAGAAACTAGGCAACTAGGGCGACCTCCCTACTAGGTCCGTGAGGAGGACCCTTGAGTATGAGCATGCTCCAACCTCAACCTCTCACGCCAATATTTACCCTCACCATTATTCTACACTCCCGTAGGTTTGCGTCCCTAGCCTTCGCCGTTTGTCGCCGCCAGAGACGCAGCCCCGCCGCCGTCAAGCACACACGCCGGCCGCGCAGTAGGAGCCCGACGCATCGCCGCAACGCGCACCTCTCCCTCGCGAAAGCCGACCACGCCCGCAGGTGATCGCGGAGACATCGGTCGCCATAGTGCCCCAAAGCGACTACTGTGTTGTCGGCTTCGCGAGCGGCCGCGGCGGCCTGGAAGGCCCACTGTCTGAAGCTTCTCCGCTTTGTGCTGAACGCTAGTGCTGACGCCAGCGAGGCCGCGCCAGTACGTCGACGGACACGAGTAGCCGCGGCGGAGGACCAAGCGGCCAGCACCCGCCTCCCAAGAGAAAGCACATAGCTATGATGTTGTTGGGGTTTATTGATGAAGGTAATACCAAGGCAAGGGCGGGGTTCCGAAGTTTGGAGCGGTGAACAGGGCGTGGGTAAGGTCTATCTTCTCGTGTGAGCAAGCGGTGTCTCTCTCAACGGCGTCTCGGATCTTAACCAAGGCATCAAACAAAACTATCACAGGCGTATCTTGTTGTGAACTGTGCAGCATTGGATTGGACCACATACAGCGCACAGCGAGTACCAGTGTTGCATCGTTTTCTTCGGCGCGTGATGCCAGAAACGCTAAAAGGTCCAACTCTCAGCGCAGCATACGTGACACCACTTCTGGATAAATCCGAACAATTAATTGATCCACAGATCAAATCGGATGTCTTGGGGTTTGTAATCGCAATGAGGGTATTTTCGCTCCAAAACCCAAGTGAGGAGCTTTGATCACGAAATTATTGAGACCATCCCACCCACCCGACTGAGGGTTTGTACATCGGGTACCAATTCTGCGCTGGGCGACAACACACTAGAGGTTCCCTTCCACCATGGGGTGACATACCAGGCGAGGACACCTGCCCGGCGCAGGAGGCCCCATCCACTCCAATCCGTACGAAAATGAGCCTCGGTATGGATTCAGACCACAACAGGGAAGCTGGCTCTAGTGTATACAATGCTTCAAGTCCAAGGTCTCTCAACTGACGTCGAGGCTGCTCCTACGAGGAGAGAAGGGGAGCGGAGGCTGCGTACGTTTCTGATGCTTGCTGTGAAGTTGGCCCAGCCCACCCCTGTGTCTAGACCTTGCACAACCCATCTTAGGAAGCAATTAACACCCCAACACGGCCTTCCGTCTTTTCGCTGACACTGTACTGCAGTAATCCCCATACTCGAACCATCCGGAGCTCTCCTACTAACCTGCCCCGAGCCTCAGCAGTAGCCTCGTGTGACGAACGAATATCGTTCACCCGGTGTCTCCAGCGCCGGATCGCTCGCCGTTGACCTGCCGTTCTGGCCAGCACCTTGCACTGCCGATGTCGCCGCCACCAACGGAAGGCTGAGCCGATTTGAGTCTCAAACCGATGCCGACGCCCGAGGGCCTGCTTGCGTTGATTCCGTTGCATGGGGCGAAGGGTACGTCATGCAGTGCATCCAGCAGTGTCGTAGGATGTTAATTATTTGGAACTGTCAGAGACCATTGTGCGAGCGAAGAAGCGATAGTGAACTGGGGTGGGTGTCGATTGTAGAAGTAAGCATGGAGAACCCAATCCTCGAAAACAACTGCTTTGGAATCGTTTTTCGCCTTCGTGAATATCATTTCATTCATTCAAATGTGCCACACCCTGTACAGCTACTTCAAGATAGTTGTGTTTGTTTGGCCAATCAACTACTGGCTCAAGTCTTGTGCAACTAGTTGATTCCGTTCAACTACCGGCTCAAATCTTGTGCAACTAGTTGATTCCAATCAACTATTGGCTCAGAATCTCGGGTGACTAGCTGATTCCAATCAACTACTGTACTGGCTCATAATCTTGTGCAACTAGTTGATTCCGTTCAACTACGGGTAGTTGAACCCTTTCCCCACCATTAGTTTAGTTGTTTCGTTATAGTTGTACAGGGTGTGAAATGTTCCATGATGCCAAGCCTAGATGACACACCCACGGAGGACGAAAAAGAAAATATTGCCGGTTCTTCACAGCAAAAGTGCTGACATTGAGAACGCAAGGTCTTAAAAGAGCTCGTGTCGTGAGAGCGCCCGACGTTGCTCATACTGACTAAACTGTCTCACACACATCGGAAGCAAGCTTTTTAAGTTTCCTCTCTACCTCGGCAGTGCGAAGCCTGGCGCCCCATCCTGAACACGCAGCCACCTCATCTTGAATGGCCGCACAGCCACGTCGCCCCACTTCGCGCCCCCAGCCACATTTCGCCTCCCCTTGCATCACCGTTACCACCGCCGACGTCTGCGCCGCAGCCCGCCATGCCTGAAGTACAACCCTCTTGGCCCTGCGTTCTCGAAACAGCTCTAGCCTCCACTCTAGATCCTCCCTCTCTTCTCGCCCAGCCGCCCACCTCCCATCCTCACCCCCGGCGCTGCCGCCCGCCAAATACACCGCCTTCACACACCGTTGTCGCCACCCCTGTAAGGCCTTCACGGCAGCCGCCCGCTCCCTCAGCCAGCACAACGTCCGGATCTTCCGGGCTAACGTGGCCGCCCGTTTCCAAGCGGCCAGGCCCCTCCGACAGCGAGCGGCGGCCACCGCCGCCGTCGCTGCCCTGCACCGACTTCCTCTAGCGAGGGCGGTAAAAGCGGAGCGAACAAGGAGTGCGTTGCGGCGGGCAGTAGACCTTGCGAACCACTCTCGAGCTCGCCGCTGCTGCGCTGTGCGGGCGCGGAGGAGGTGGAATGCGGAGGCGAGGCTGATGTTGTTGGCGCCGCCGCAACCCATCCGGTGCCGAAGAGCTAGAACTTCGCAGTCGTAGGCCCGGCGGCGGGCTCGCAAGTCTGGGTCGTTTTGTGCCGCTCTCTCCCAATCCTTGTTCGGTTGAGTTAGGATTGGGGGTTGTCAGGTATCGGTGCGTCTTGGTAAAATACATTGTGTAGATGATACGGATGTTCAACCTTGGGATTGGGGAAGGAGGGTTGGTTGATGGGTGGTAAGGGTGGAATTTGGTTTTGCTTTGTTGTTCGGGAGTTGTTCGTGCGGGACGATAAGGCCGATCGCCATCATTCGCTTCAAGATACGTGCGGGGACAAAGGCGCTAGCATCGAAACAAAACACCTGGTATTGGCAAGGAAGAACGAGCACGCTACTTCCTTGAGAACGGCCACAGGTTGAAAACAGCCGAAGGACCAGGGCCTATAAAAAACTCGTTGGAAATCGCTTTGCGAAAAACATACCCCAAGCGACAGGAAATCTACGCAAATAACTGCTGTGTGTAGCTTGCTCAGCCAAGCGCCCAGTAAATTTCACCACGACAAGAAAACACAATCAACCCCGCGGAATGGGTACTATTTGACAACACCTGAGCTCGAAAGAAGGGTGACCGATCAACTGCAAACAATTTGTACGATTTACCGCCACTCAACAACATGAAACGCCTCCCATCTTCCAGAACCCCCTTACTCTTGCAGGACTATGAATCGATGCCCGCGAGATGCATCGAGCTAAATATCGAAACAACTGCTGGTGAGATCATCAAAGGACTTCACACATGGTACATAGCTGCCTCACCGCCAGCCCCTCTTCGGCATCGCGTTTGCGGCATGAGAGCTCCCCGCCGCGCCCCTCCATCTCTGCGCGGAGTTCCCATGCAATGGCTTCGCTGGTAGAGACAATCTTGCGAGTTTCGCCAGTGGTCGCCTCCACTTGCTCCTGGAGACACAACAACGGGGACAGGGTAGCCGGAAAGGGGTACGTTCCAAAACAGCGCTGTCAAGAACTTAGAAATATGTACGTACAGCGCCATCTCGTTGTGTTCTTTTTTTGTCATTCTTACCAACTGAAGCACCCTTTGACGGAAAATCTCAACCTTGCCAACACTACCATCCAGTATAAGAATCCTTCCGTGCATGTTACCTGGCAGGGTACGCCGTCTCATTGCTTCTCGGTACCTTCTCTACGTGCTCTAGTACGAGATGCATCGTCGGGTTTAGCAGCAAGTCAGTGATTCTGTTCGGCATTCAATCGCGTCGAAACGTTCTTTCGAAACACTTTGTAACTCATTTGGCACTTAGCACACCTGGATTCGGGCGAGGGTCGCGTGATAGCGTTCTGCCTCGTGCGCGACGCGCCTGGACTCATGGAGAACCTGCGGAGCAGTGAGGGCAATGGACGAACACCGCACAGGGATAACTATCACACCGTGTCAGCAGCAAGCACGTTCCTGGTCCTGTCTTCATTGGTAAGCGCCTGGACAAAGTATTGGCCATACAGGGTGGACTTCGAGACATCGTGTGAGACCCGAGCCAAGGCACATCTTGTCCTTTGCCCCTGAAGGCGCTGGCGTGGCGAGTGAAGATTGTCTACAGCAGCAAACATGGTCTTCCTTCCATCCACGGGGGGCCCTGAACGGAAGCTTTGTTCGACCTTGGTCCAAGAAGAAAGCACGCCCTACCCCCAACGCGAAGAAGGGACCGACGTCTTCCCCTCAAACCACTCAGGGGCCTGGCATCACGACGAGACCCCTCCTCCCGTGCCAATTTCAAGTCAGATTCGTGTCAACCATGTTGTGTGAAGATATTGCCTGGATCTCGCAGGCATACTCTTAACACCCGCGCCACCACCACAACTTCACGACCACAACGATTTTGAACAAACCTCGTAGACGCTGGCATCGCCAACCAATATATACACGGTATTGCAATACGACTGTCGCACCGGGAACTCCACTCCAATTCATGCATTCAGCCATACGGAATACCGGAGAATTTCGAAGTGTGCACCTCCGAAATAACGAAAGGAAAGATGAAGCGGTGACGGGAGGCGGGCATGGTCTGCAATATACAGAATATTCAAACCTCGACATTCACCTGCACCTCGCCCCCAGCCTTGGCGATCAGCGTGCGGCAGGTCACGTCCACCCTGTCCATGTTTCTAGCGCGGGCCCGGCGCGTGACCTCGACCTGCCTCCGCAGCGCCGCGTGCAACTTTCGCGCCTCGGCGCACGCTTCCGTTCGCTGGGCCACCTCTTTGCCCAGAGCTGCCACCTATTGGTATCGCCGGAACACAAAACGTATATTGCTTTAACTCGCGCTGGTCGAAAGAAACGGCCCAGAAAAATGAGTGAATACGTTTCGGTTGGTATGGATCGGGCTCTGGCGGCATTGAATAGAGACGCCCGACACGCGCCTTGGCCGGTTGTTTTTTATACTCCGGAATACAGAGGTGTAAAAATTCGCCCCACGTTCTCCCAAAACATGGTCAATGCACGTCCTGGGAAGGGTATTTGACGTATATGGTGATAACGGGTGGCACCTCACAAAGTGTACTTCGTGCTTGGGTCCTTCAGCACAGTTACGACAGGACCACGCAAAGCGCACACAAGCACGTTGTATTACGCACCTGGTCTCGTAGCCCCCGTGTGGTGCGTGGCTCGGGCACGGCAACAGAGGGATCTCCTAGAAGGGGTCGAGGCGCGCGTTCCAGTGCTTCCACGAGCCTCGCGGACAAGGGCTTGAGCTCGACAAGGCCGAGGGTAGCGAGGAATTTCTCGGGATCCTCGTCTCCGAGGCCGTTGTCAATAGCGGATCCGGTAGCGTCGGCCTTGTCCATCTCGGCAAGCACACGCTTCACCCGCAGAGCTTCCCGCAGGAGCCGCGTTGTCGCCTCGGAGGTGCTCCCGTGGTGACCTCCGGCGCGCACCTCGCCCTCCGCACCTCCATCCTCGCCTTGTTCGGCTGTGGTCCCGACCGTACCACTCCCAAATGTCCCAACACCCCATCGGACGCCCCCTTGCTGTGGTGTGTAGAGCTGTTGCTGCCCAGTCGCGGGACGGCCATCAACGAGTGTGATTGCTGCCGTGGCGAGGGTGTACACGCCTGGAGAAGCGATAGCGTCAGGTTGTGGTGGCTGCTCCACCGACTCACCACCAGGAGAGACTCTGCGGGACTCTGATCTCCTTTCATTCCTTTCAGGGCTTTCTCCAGTGCTGTTTTGTCCAACAATCAGTCTCCTTCTTGTGTTTGACCCGTTCAGAATTCTTGGAGCACTGTCTGGTCTTCCCTCGAACCTGTTGCTGGCGCGCCATCTCGACAATTGAGTTTCTGCTTTGTCATCTCCGCCTCTTCCAATGGACAGGTTACTATTACTGTCCACAAGATCATCAACCTCCGCCGTTGGTGGATTTCTCCGCCCCGCCACCGCTGACTGTTTGGAAGGGTCTTGCAATGCAGCTGCCTGCGTTGGGGACAGGGATAACGGGCCGCCCAGTCTCTCGCCGTCTTCTCTTCTAGCTAGCAAAACCTTTGCCGCGGAGGCCATGGTTGTTATCGATTTAAGGCTCTGACCCCTTCCGACCGCTGCAACCTCTGGCACCCGCTCCACCGCCGCCACCGTGGTGCCTTGCCCTACCGCTCCAGCTTCGGACTGAGCACCGAGCAGGACTGGCGAAGCAGAGCGACTACGAAGTGCCTGGGCGGCAAGATCGGGAGTTTTGTTCAATTCAGTACGCGCCACCAATGAATAACCTTGGAGAAAAGAACTTCAGGCTCAAAAAACGATAAATTGAGGAATCTAACCGTATGAACAGTGCTCAGTGAAAAAGAGTACACCAAAACCTATACAGTCGATGTTGGGTTACGCCGCAAAGCAGGAAGAAACGAGATCAGGGGAAAGTAATAGGTTCTTGAAGTGGTGACGCGCACTGTAGATCGTTCTCTAGGTCGTTGTTCCTCCTGGTCAAGTAAATTCGGACTTGGCCCATCCGAGCCCATAGCCTGTATCCGCTCCTCTCCCAAACGTACCTCGGTCTTGTCCCCGGTGGCGAATTCCCCCTCAATCCCGCGAGCAACATGTCCCGGAGACGGTGGGTCCCGTTTTCCAGCCCCGGCCATACCTCGTCCTCCGTTCTCTGTTGCACGGTTAGGGGCATCAAGGACGATCGATTCCTCCGCCATCGCCTCCGGTGACTGAGCAGTGTCTGCAACGGGGACGGTTCCAGCGATGCCCACGGGACAGCTGCGACTAAGCGTCGTGCGTACCGTCCGGCCACGTTCAGGGCTGGAGAGCATCCTCACTCGGGGCTTATCCGCTGGCTGAGGCAGCGATATCGACGACGATGGTCTAGACCCCCCCAGGGGCATAGAAGGAGTTGTATTCCTCGTATTCCTCGGCGCGCCGCCACCGGCGCTGGCGCCAGTGGTGCGCTGCACTGCTCTTGCTTTACAAGGTGGCACCGCCCACTGATTGTCGCTGCAGCCGACGGCGGCCGCGAGGTCTTGCAAGAAGGTGTTCGTCTGCCCGGACACGTGCCGAAAGCGTTCCGCCTCCCGCCGACGGACACTCTCGCAGCGCAAGACAACGTCGCTCACTTTGCCTTCAGTTCGCCGCTGGACCTGCCACAAAGATCGAGTCGGCGGTGTTTTTCTACGTGCAAGCGGACAGAGCATGTAACATGACAATCCTACGTCAGCCTATCACAACAGTCAACAGTTTCTCCAGTGCTCATCAAGTATGACTGCTGGTCAATACCCCAACTTAATACTTCGTGCGTGGTAGAACTCAAGATATTCGTCGGTCAAAAAGGGAAATGCAAGGTACGTATGAGCGACAGGTCCAGCAGTAGCATACCTGCCAATGGAGCAAGGACCTGCTTCGACAACCAAGTGATTTCCTCTACCCCCCCACCGACCCTCCTCACCTCTCCTAGCACCTGCACCCACATACGAGTGCCAGGTGAATTGAGCGTCGCTACCGCGCTTTCCAAAAGCTCGTTCGTGCGCTGGCCCGCAGCCCGCCGGCTATTCACAACGTCGGCTTGGTCGCCATGCCGTTTCCACGGGAATATGTCACACGCGCACAGTCGGAATGTCAACGACGCCGGTGAGAGTATGCTTTGAGATACCCGGCGTCCCAAATTCGGAAGATGGAGTTGGTCAAACGAAAAATCCACTGTTGCCAAGACGACGATTAAAAGGAGGGCGCGGTGCTTCCCGCAAAACCCAGCAAGCATCTGAGATAGGGGCTTGGACGGAAAGGCGGACTGGTTTTTCACAACGCACACTTTCGTTCGACTGACTCACCGAGCACCTCTGCAGCCTCTTCGAGGATCTGTCTCTCGAGCACATCCAGCTCTGATTGGTCGAAAACGGGCCAGCTATCTGCCTGAAGCACCGCTAGCATCTAGGGCAACACGAGCGGTACGAGTGGCAGCAGGAGAAACCTTCTCTGAGTATTACTAGTGCCTGCATGCACTCCCGTCCCGCAAGAAGAATGCAAAGACCAGCGACAACCTCAATAAAAGCCACATATGCCACCCGCACCGTATCACAACCGTCGACAACAAAGAACATGTTGCACGCAAAAGTAGCTTGGTGCGACAAACACACATACGTGGTGTACGGGCATGGCTACAGCCATACGTTGACGCCACGCCACCCGCCGGCCGTTGAACACCCTTCCTCCCCGGCGAAATCTTGAAGATAGCTGATCGCCGCCGATACCGCCACCGCCGGTGCTGCTGCAACCGCTGCCTGCCTCAAGCAAAGCCTCTCGGAGCTCGGCGTGGCATTCCAGCAACCCGGACATGTGGTGAAGAAGCAGGCAGAGACAGCACTCTCTCGACGTTTTATTTGTCGCGGACCTTTCGGCAACGACGATGGCTGGAGCATCGGACGTCTCCCCAGCAATGACCTAGAACATCGTACAGCGCAGAAACGAAATTGTTGCGCTGGAATGATCAAGAGAGGAACGGGTGGGGGGGGGAAAGAGAGGGCACCAGCACGCTTGTGTTTCGCCATCAGAGTAGCGAACACCTACAGCCGGTAATCGTCCAAGTAGAAAAACAAACGAGTAGTAGAACCCAAAAACTACACGAACACCCAGGAACTCCGCGTCGCACTTTACTCACTCTTCGTACCTACCTCTGGACGATCGAGCACCTCGACGTAAAATAAAGGGAACCAAAGGCCCCGGACCAAAAGCAAAACAAGCCTGCTACCCAAGTTAAAGTCAACCAACATCGCGATATCGCCATGCGTATCTTCAAGCACACAGTAATGTCTCTGACCTCTCTACCGTCCAGCGTCTTGAGGCACGCGGATGCAAGCGAGACCACATGCGCCCGGTAGTTGGCGGCACCGCACACGGGGTTGCCTTCCAGCGATAACATCTCCAGGTGAGCCAAAAGCGAGAGGGGGTGGAGGTCCTCCGTCCGGCGCACAAGGTTGTGTGAGATGGAGAGGCAGACCACCCCCGAAAAGGCTTCAACGCCTCGCAACCAGCGCAGACTGTTGTTGCTGAGGAAAAGCTGGGTCGCTCGGGAGGACACGCCGGAGGGCACGCCCTCTAGCGAGGTGATGTGTTTTCCCACCTACCGTCAGTGCACATTGTATGAAGTAAGTTTTGTGCCCACTCGCAAGTTTGACTTTGCCCGCTCTGCTACACCAAGGTGGACCGGTGCAAACCCTTCCATCGGCTAACGTTAAGAAGCAAAATCAAGGCATCGCACCTAATACGGCAGCATAGCAAAAACACCGACGCGTTCTACCCCCGAAACGGAATAAGTCACACTTTTGACCGTGTTTCGCCGACAATGCAATGGACGCGCACTTATCACCTCACCGCAGAGACTTTGAGCCCTTCGCCCCCAACCAGCCCACCCACCGTCCGCAGCACTTGGCCGAGCGGCAACTCTGTCGAAGTTAAATCCGCCCGAGGATGTCTCTTCCTGACACTTGTACCACCCCCGATTACGGGTGATGCAAAAGCAGCCGCCTGGCGAACACCGCTTTTTGGTGGTCCTCTTGCCCCACTGCCTCTTCCTCCGCGCCTTGACCGCCCTCCTCCTCGGCTGCGGCCGTTGTGGACCCCCAGTATTGCCATCGATTCACCGCCGATGTTCCGGTCGACGCCACGACCGCGACCGCCGCCAAGCCTTTGCCCCCAGTCGTTGTTCGCGCTACTACTTTTGGCGTCCAGAGAATCAACTTCCTCCCAGAAGAGTGTGCTTGATTCCTGGGCGCTCAGGGCATGTTCACCACCCTTACCTCGGTCGTTGCGGTGCTGGTGGTGCTGCTGCTGTCCACCAGCGGAGCGCGTTGACAACCCTGCTCCTTGGCGGTGGTGAAGGTCAAGCGACGAGGAAGCCAGGCTTTTGGCGTGTGTTTGCCGCTGTTGGTGCCTGGTGTCATTGTAGGTAGCGTTACCTCTGCGTCCTACCGCATCGACGCTCTTTAGCCGCAAGAGATCTTCCCCATCGACCATGAAGTCCTTCTCTTGGCCCCGAGGAGGGTCTCCGATCCCTGCTCGGGTGCATTGACCACTGCCGCTGCCGCCATCTTTGTGCTTCGAAGAAGCAGCGCTGGGATAACGCACCGTTGTTCTTTCTAGACCGTCTCCGCTGTCGAGAGCGGCGCTGCCTATCACGCACCCCGGATCGAGTTCGGTCTGGGGTGACGGCGGTTGATATGTAGGCCGTTGAGGGGGGGATCTTGGCGTTGGTAACCTGAGTTCGCGCGCCTCATCATCACTTTCATCGTCAGGTTGGGGACGGCAATGGTTGCCGCCGCCCCGCTTGCTCTCACGGTACTCCTTACTCTCGTTGCTGATATTACCGTCGCCGTTAGTGTTACTGCGGTCGGACCGCTTCGGCTGCTCCTGCCGATTCCCGTCTCCCCGGGTTAGAAATTGCCGTAGATATGAGTTCGTTGGCTCCTCCGCCGGCTTGCCCGAGGTCATTTCACGGGACTGCGATGAGGCCGTGAAGTTATCATCAACCAAAACATGCGGGTGAGACCGCTGTAGTCGATCAGTAGCAGCTACATGCAAGGCGGCAGGAGAGAAAAGAGTGGGTTGAGACCACCTTCCACTGCTGTGCCTGTTGCACTGGTTGGTGCGGCGAGATCTCCTTCGATTTTGAGAGGCTCCGTGACGTCTTTCCTGCCCCAGGGGTTCCTTTCCAGAGGTGCCCCGCAGCAACTCGCCAAACTCGCGCCATTTCGGACCGATTGCACACTTGCACTTTGTCAACAACGTTGGCGACCACCTCCCTCTCTACTAAAGGTCTGGACGACCAGGCCAAATGTATTCCGCACATGTCGCTCAGGAATCATGCGGTTACCAAGGTCATTGTAGTGGTGGCGCTCTCGCTGATACAACAAACCTGAGTTCGGCTCCTCTCCAAAACGCCAACGGCGACTCCAGGAAGGTGCGGTCGGTCTGTGCGTGTGTTGCCTGTTTAGTTGTTGGGTCCTGTTTCAGGTGGGTGGATTAAGGAAACTCGTCTCACGGGGTAACGTGGTTGATGTGTAGATGCAGACGCTGCACGATGCCCGCATAGCAGTAGGGAGAAAGAGCACAGCAGATACATATACGCATGTTGTACATGTGAGCATACCAAGGCGTGCTCTTCCCATTGGTTCAGGCCCCAACGTGAGAATGAGTATCTTTTGATGTGCAGCACGCAACCACAGCAGTAGGAGCAGATGCCGCCTACACATGTGCAGACACTGAAGTGGCCGTGGGTTCCTGTTTGCGGAGTTTTACTCGCTCGCACCAATGCTGCCGTTTTGCCTAGGCTTGTCCATCCAATCAATATCCTACAGCGCTTTTCTCGATCCCGAAATTCTCCCTTTGTTGCATTTGCCGGTCCGCTCTTCTGTCGTGTTGTTTGTGTCATCCTTAGCAGCAATACTACAGCAGTGGTAACGCCAACAGCCCCGCGCCCTACCCACCTCTTCCCCCGGCGGCCCCGGCAGCGTTGGATGCTGTCTGTCTACCGCTGCCCCCACAGCAGTTCGCCCAGCCTTGCTACAACTACTCCACCCCGCCGGCTCCGGCCCCGTACCCTCCGCTGCCTCGAGCGGAGGCGATTGCCCCAACATCACTCAACGGGGCTTACGGCCAAGCCGCCGTGGATGCTCCCTTGCCCCCACCCGGCCCGCCCGTACTGCCTCAGCTCGTTGCCGATTACCCCTCCCCCGAGGCTGCCATGCAGGCTTTGCAGCGTCAATCGATGTCGCCACCGCCACCGCCGCCGCCGCAGCAGCAGCAGCAGCCACCATTCGAAGCGCCGGCGCTGCGTCAGCTGGGTACGGAATACCACTCTACATCACCGCCTCCTCCACCAACACAGCAAACTGCCGGTGAGCACTGGCTACCGTCACCGCCACCTCTCCAGTGGTGGCAGGGCCCTCCAGGCCCCCCGGCATCGGTCATGTTGCCATTTCGAGGAGGAACGGAGGAAGCAGCATCGCCGGCGTCACCGCAGCAACAGCACCTGGAGAGCGGCGCCAACAGCAGCAAAGCGGCGGGATACTCGGGAGGAGAGAGCTTCAGCGGCAACTCTGCCGATTCCGACGGCCAGAGGAAGAAAAAGCTGCCGGCGCGCCAACAACGCGCAGCACCTTCTCGGAAGGAAGGCGTCGAGGGGCACTACACGCCCTCGGTCAAGGGACATTACACGCCCGCGGTGGGGACGAGACCCCGCGATCCGCGTAAAGCAAAGTCACAGCGCGCCGGCGCCGTCGGCAGCAGCAGCAGCAGCAGCAAGGATGCCTACAAGATCCCCAAAAATAGCGGGAGCAGCTCTCGAGGACAAGACTCCTACACCATCCCCAAGAAGACCGGCGGTACTTCCAGACCCCAAACCAAAATCGTTTACAGCAAGAGCGAATTGAGGATGTACGGGGATGCCCAGCGTAGCTCCGAGAGAACGGACCCACGCGAGAGCCGGTCGGGAGATGCAAACGATTTCCGTCGCTCCGACGGCTCGGGCGGGCGCGTTGGTGCGGGCGAACGGCCGCCAGAGAAAGACGATCGACGCTTCTCTTCCCGCGATAACAACTGCAGTCGCGACGGCCGCAACGACAGGGACAAAGACCGGCGTTACGCGAGCGGCGGTGGCGACCACAAGGATGGTTCCCGCCGTCAGGCGAGGGATGACGGCGCCGGCCGTTGGTCGAACGACGGAAGCGAGAGGTACGGAAGAAGCCGGGAACACGAAGAGAACAACCGACGCGGGAGCGGTCGTGACAGGCAGAAGCAGAGGGCCGGGAAGTCCTGCCCTCCCCCTAGCGCTGAGAAACGACGTGACGCGAGCGCAGGTGCTCGCGCTACCACGGCGTTGATGTCACCGGAACAGGAACGAGACGACGAGATTGCCGAGGTAGCCATGCCCCGTTTGGTGTGCGAGGAATTGTGTTCGCTGCTGGTGTAAGAGCAGCTTCTACCGGGCAGCGGTCGCAATTAGCTTTTGGTATTCGATTTCATAGGTCGCATCCATGATCACCCGAAGGCCGCGTGGGTTGGCATCGATGGTTTTATTATCCGCGTTCTTTTGCAGCCATTGGGGTACTGTGCTACCTCGTAGATCGGAGTCGCGTTGTAGAAGCGTCACGTCAAAAAAAGGACATAATAAGGTGAAAACCGCTGCCACCCTTCAGGCTCGGAAAACATGCAGGACTACCCACAGAAAGCTGTGATGTGTAGACGGATCACGTCAAGTAACTCGAATGCTGAGCATGTATTATCCTCCCCGCCTGCTACCCGGTTCTCGTGTGTGACTGTCATGCTGCCTGCATCTGTGTTTGTCTTTTCCGTGTCCTTGAGCAGCTCGCTAGCCAGCTCACGGCTCTTGAGATAGACGCGGGCAAGGGAAGCGTCGACGACGAGGGCAAGGAGAAGGTGGCCAACGGCGGCGATGCGGGGAAGGGGAAGGCATACCTGTCGCTGGAGGAGTACAAAGAGGCCACCGCGTCAGGTATGCCTGGCTGATGCTAACATGGTGTATTTTATTTGCGTTACAAACTGCTGATGTTGACGCTTGCATTTTGATCATCTTCGTGTGGGCTCTAGCGTTCATGCCTGTGCTACTGCACCTGCTGTCGTTGGTGGGAAGAGCTATGAGGTCGGTCTGGGTGCTGCTGCTGTTCGTTGGCTGCGGTGGCAGGGGTGCACGTGGTGGTCAATTGGTCGTCGCTGGTGGTGATAGTCTTGTTGCGCGGGACAACTGGGTGTTCTTCTTTTGGCGTGGAGAGATCAGAAGGACGCTGTTTCCTTGACGTTTGACGTTTGCGATTGTGGCTGTTTGGTCATGAAGTGTCTCGTCTGTGGCTCTGACAGAGAAAGACAACAGTTCACTTGTCAGCTACCACCACCTCTTCTATGCGAATAAAATTAAAGATGATGCTGGAAGAACTGAGCCCCTCACATAAGGGCACCAAGCAAAGCTATGTGAACAGACCCATATTCGTTTTGGTTTGTGTGTCGCTGTCCGGCTTTTTTCATGCAGAAACACCCCACTACTGCTGTGCCAGTTACCATATAATTTGTCGCCTTAACCGTTCTTCTAGATCAGGTGAGGCATTATTTTCGCATATCCGTTTCTCTTCGGCTAACCTTGGTGCCATTGCACATTTGACGTCCACAGGAGAGATCAAGCCGTACAAGGGCACAAAGTACCAGACGGTGGACGACCGCTACGCCGACGGCTGGGCCTATAACCCCACAACCCGCCGCTGGATCAAGGTCGCCTGCCAGGAAAAGAAGGATGCCATAGAGGCCCTCCCAGCACTCCTCGTGAGTCGGCGTTTTCACCAAGACCAGGGAACGTATATAGTTTCGCTTTGCTGTTTGGAGTGCTTGAGGTCACGTTTGGCGCTTACCACGTCCATTGCGTTGCCTCGACAATTTGCGAGTACAGCGCTTCAGTGTGATGAGAGGAAATGTGGGAGCTGTTGGAACGGGAGATAAACGAGAAGAACCTTCCAACTGAGCTCAACAACAACGAACCGGGAGGGATAAATATGAGCGTTCCTTACTGGTCAGCGGATCCGGCGCAGTTCTGTCAACGAAGGCAGGCCAAAGAATTTTGGCAAAACGCACGTTGCGCGACCGCATGCCAAAGACTGAAGCTGAGCTACTACCTACGTCGTTCAGTAGGTGGCTACTGAGTGAAATTTCTCGCGGAATACACTGCTGTTATTGTCCGCAGGCGAGATTGGAGCTAATGGAGAGCAGAGACAAGCTAGCGACCCAGCGATCCCAGCTACTAGAGACGAAGGTCGAAGAGATCAAGAAGAAGAAGGACACAGGTGGGTTGGCGTTGCCATGGGTTCAAAGCGACGGTTGCGTGTTCGCGCGAAGAGCACAGCAGTTGTAACGACAACGACGACGGCCGCGACTACAATAAAAAAAAATACAGCAACAAGAACACAACAGACGAGCAAGTTGCTTCCCTGCCTGTCTCAATTACTCTTGCATGTGTGTTGCAGTTTCTCTGGCGATGCCGACGGCTCCTGTGCTGGTAGCGTTCGACACGAACTGGCTCATCCACCGGCTTGCCGATACCATGTGCCGCGTGAGCGACATCGCGGGCAGGCAGAAGGACACCTCCGTCCTCATACCCAAGGCGGTGTTGACCGAGCTGGACAGGCTCAAGACTCGCGGAAGAGACGAGGCTACTCGCTCCAGCGTGAGTGGGTGTTGCTGTTGCTGTTGTTGTCATCGGCCTGTGGTGGGTAGTTGTTGTGGTGTTGGCTGAGGCTCATTCTATCTCTCCCGTGGTTTTCTGACGAAGGGGAGGTTGGTGTTGTTGAGAAGGTTTTTTGTCTTGTTATGAAGACTTTCTGAGCGACCGCGCTCGCTCCCAGCCCGTCACGGACAAGCCTTCATGGTGACGTGTCCTGCTCTCGGATTGTTATAATTGCTGATGCATGCTTCTGCAAGATCTCCGTCTACCACTATAAGAGTCAACCGACAAACTCTCTGTTGGACCCAAATCGAACGGTTATACAAAGAATACTGTTGAATAAAGGGTTAGCTTGTTTTACCCCGTCAACACGGAAAACATGTCCGTGTGCTCTGGTGTCGAAATGTCACGTTCAGGCGCAGAAGGCCAACCGATACTTCCGAGGTCTCGTCGAAAAACCTCTCGAGCGCGGAAGGGAATTCCCCGTCGTTCGCGTCCAGGAAGACACGGAGCTTTTCCGGTGAGCCACCAGTGCGTAGTTTCTCTCTTTTGAGAGCCGTGCGTTTCAGCGGCTGCATTAAGAGTGCCACCAATCAACAACTTGGCGGTCATCACACTGCGGCCTAATTTCTCAACATGCTTGGAGAGAGGCCGGCAATCACCTCCACGAAAGCCACCCCGAAAAAATCGAACCCACAGGGACAACCGGAACCCGAGCCTCGGCCACGTTTAGAAGTCCTCATTGTCACGATATTCTGTAGACGGTTCGGCGCAAAAGGTCCTGTAGATCGAATGCTCTGTCGGTACACATGATGGTGTCGTTGTCCAAGATGAAATGATGCACCGTGCGCCGCTCTCCATCAACCATGCTGGTGTGATCAGTTGCCGTGATGATGGGAGAGGTTTGGTATCGTTGACGAATACCCTTGTGGAATTTTCTCCTTTGCAGGGACAACGGACATCACAGTAGGCCCGAGGGCCTCGGCGGCGACGACTCGATTCTCAACTGCTGCATGTTCTTCACGCAAGGAATCGACACGCCGCGCAAGGTGTGTACCGTCCCATTTCAAGATCTTGCACCAACGCTGTAGTTACGATATTTGTTTGGGGGGGCGGGGGTTGTTTGCCGCCGGCAACGAGAAACGTGTTTTGGAAGGAAACCTATGGCTTGGTGTGTGCGTGGGAGCCGCGTCAGGTTTGTTGCAGAGTATCTGTCGGCGGGGGGATGGGAAAGCAGGGGGTTGTGTCACATATTGACGAGGCGTTGACACGCCAGAGCTTGCGAGATGCTTGCACGCTCCCGTAGCTCGGTACGTCAACCTAGCTTGGGGTGTGCGTGTGAGTTAGGGTTAGGGTTTAGGGGTGGGTTAGGCCTCGTGAGGCCTAGCGCCGTGGTGTAGCCTGAGGGCTGGAAACCCGCTGTGGCTTTGGTTTCGTGTCTACCTCCAACCACAACCCAAAAACTGTTGCACTGGCGAGTGCAAGAATCTCGCCAGCTCTGGCGTATATACGCCTGTCGGTCCAATGCTGGGGGCACGAATGATGGCGATCTTGTGAGACGGGGAGGAGCCGTCGAGATCCAAGTATTAACGCACCGCCCACAAATGGGCACCACATGGCGACAAAAACTCTAACATTGGACACAGCCCCCTGCTTTCCCATCCCCCCGCCGGCAGATACTCTGCAACAAACCTGACGCGGCTCCCACGCACACACCAAGCAAGCGGTGTCCTAAAACACATTTATCGTTGCCTGCTGCAAACACCCCCCCCGCCCAAAACAAATATCGTAACAACTGTGCAAGAATACCTCCCGTGCTCATGGGTGTCCTTGGTGTTGCAAGAGGCTTCTGCGGGGCATTTATCGATTGAGCGTGACCTTTTACATTGACGTGAGCTTGTGTGCAACAAGCTCCTCCACCAAAACCATGGTTGTCGAAACACCGCCAAACAGAGTTGAACGCGCATTCGACCAAAAAAAAAATAACTTAATTTTCGCGTGGCACGTAACAGCTTGGGACGTGAATGCGTGACCCGCGCATCCAGTCGTCTTTCATTCATCTCATGGACGCATGCTGAAACCGCGTTCTCCCTTCGTTTTATTGTATTGCCGCAGGTGACCCTCGTCACCGGCGACAACAACTTCGCCATTCGCGCCACCGCGCACGGGTTGACGACCACTGGCCGTCCGCAATGCGATCCTGGGCATTGCCGCATGCCCCTCTGCCCTGCCCCTCCCCGCCCTTCCCCGTTCTCGCGCGGCTATTGATGAGAGAAGGCACCATAGGTGAAGTAATGTATCATGTCTCTCTCCCTTTGGACCGTTGCCGCCTGATGTTTCCACGACCGTACTAGGTAGGGATCGGCACCGAAGGGTAGGGTTCGTAATCAATCACGACTTCGGCATTCGAGAAATCGATCGCAGTCATTTGATTTCCCCACCCCACTCATGTTAGCGCTAGTCGGAAGGCGGGGGTGCCACTGTCGGATGGGCCATGACTTGAGACGATCACGGCCTTTGTACCGTGGTACGACACCCCTCATGTGCAATGCCATGGAAGAGTTGTTGTGGGGGCGGGACTTGGTGTGTTCTCCGTCGTTCTGTTGTTACGTGAGGGTGATTTGGGGCAAGCATTGCCGAACAAACGAACGAGTTGGCGTCTGTTTGCCTGCTTCAGTACCCATTGTTTTCGGGCTTAGTGGCGTTCACCATGTCTCTCTGGCCCTTGTGCCGCCGCCCTGTGTTGTTTTTTCTGAGGATGAACATATCGGAATGGTGATGTGATGCAATGTACCTTGTTTTCGGAGACGATATTTGGCGAGAGCCGTCTTGGAGACGGGCCCTCTTCAACGCATCAAAATGGGTCATATTTGATAGCCTAGCCAGATCATCATGACTTAGATGATCAGTGCTGTTGTGTTACGGCAGACGGGGAGAGAGGAGTGATTGGTGCGTGTTTGTACCTGGGCTCGTACCTGGGCAATTGCATTTTTGAAAACCTATTGATTGCAAATGATTTGCATGGATGATCGCAAAACGTGTGTACTCGCTGTGAGAGACTGGTTAGATTTATCGCTAAAGGGCGAGTCTCACCTTTCGAGTTTTTTCGCATTCGCTTGTGTTTCCCTGTATCAGGTCAATTCTGCGTATTTTCTTCATGCGTATCCGATGTCGAACAAATAAAAATAAAAATAAATCGAAATATCTGGGCCTCGGAACTGGTACAATCGCCCTTTCCTTCCACTTCACAAGTGTTGGCAACACCTGTCCATTGTACATAGTTCGCGACACCTCCGTTACAGCCAAGACTGAAAGATTTGGGGTGATAGTGTTTTATGGGGTACCAGTTACCAGGGATGGATATGCGTTTCTGGTGCATACAAACTAGCGGTGGTTCATCGTGGTTATATACTGCTGTGGTGGATAATGCGGTATATTTCTGTGAGGTGCATGCGAGGTGCATAGTCACACATGGCTGTCTGCCCATCTGCCGCCTCTTTGTTTTGTTCTGTTGCCTCCATTACTCCCATGCCCTGGTGCGTAGTGCCTGATGCTGGTACGGTACCCTTTGATTTTTTTAGGCGGGTGTGGGAAGCGTCCTCCTTTTTCCCTGTTTCCCTTTTTATTTTTGCCGTTATTTTTGTTTTGTTTTATTTTGATCGGTTTCCTAGGGCTCCTTTTCTCGACCGGTCGGTGCGGTAGCTGTTCTTTTTCTATCATTTCGTTTTCTGTTTCCGAGTGGTTCGTACCCTTTTCTTGTTTTGTTTCCCCGCGGCGTCGTATGTGCCGGGTTTTGCGACCACGGGCTCCCCATTTTTGTGGACTATAGAGCTAATGTGAGAGAAACAACAAAACAAACATAGTCACTGATAATCTGTTTGCAGGTCCTCCGCCACGAACTGCGAACATCTGCGTGCAATGAATACCACCCTTTTCCTGCATGAAATAGGCTTCCCGTGCGAAACGAAGGGCTTGTTTGCTGCGTCCGTTTAGGGGGCCCGCACACCTTTGATGATTAACGTTGTTCGGCATTAATACGCCCACGGTAATTGTGAAGTCAGACGCGGCGGTGGGCCATACAGTAGTATGAGCCTAATTGCAGAAAATCTTGGAAGAACATTTCCAGGTTACAGATTAGCATCATCGACACCAACAATCATTCTTCTTGCCCTTGCCACGGCCCTAGCTCTCCGCCTCGCGAAAAAAAATGCTTGAGTTGAGGCCGAGGCTACAACCCCCGCCCGGCCCGTTAGTTCCAGACACCTTTTGGGCTGGTGATCCAGCATACATAGATTAAACACAACACGACGGGTGTGTTTCGTTCCAACCGGCGCTACCCAGCCATTTGGGCGCAAGAAGCTGACCATACCTGAGGATGTCCGTCCCTGACAGGCATCACCATGTACCCTTCAACATACACCCTTAACTAAGCCCTGTGTAGGGTGAAAGTCCTGGTACCACTTTATACGCGGTGCATCTCTTTAGGGCGCAGCGAGTAGGGCCACTGGCACACCGGGCGTCGGCATTGAGCGTCACTGAGCATGAAAACACACATGACCGCCAACAACAAAATCATCTTGCACTGCTGTACGTGCATTTAATATGCTAGAGGCTACTTCGAAAAAAATATTGAACAGAAAGAATGCGTCCTTTCATGGTGATCACGCGGTGTTTGTACCGATCCTCACATGGCAAGAATCTACGGTGACGGCTCCCCTGCTAATACTCCGAAGCACGCAAAATCGAATTTGTTTTCTGGGAATACGTGCACATGGTCGTTTCCAACGGCGTGGTTGGGTGTTTTTTTCGGCACCTGCCTCCCCTCAATCAATACGGGCTTATTGTTAGACAACACACGTACATCGTCTTGTCTACAAAACGCATGCATGCTTAGTTATACATCCTTGCGCAGTAGGTTTGGACACCCGGTGCGTCATTTGCCCGTTCGTCCCTGATCGCGGCCTCTTCGCAAATGAAGCACCAACAAAAAGTTCGCCATTTGCCAAAGAGGCTTGCTTGTGAGTCCTTGTCCTTTGGTCCGGTAAGAAACAAAGCGAGACTTGAGGACGCCAAACGTCTCGAGGGCGGAAGCCGAACCTCTTGTGCGAGATGGGACACTATTCAAAGAAATTCCGACGCTTCCGCGACAACATGCACTATTCTACCACGTGTCTCACGTGTGCACGTGATATCTGCGTCTGAACTGCAAACAACACCCTGCCGCACTCGAAACAATTACAACAAGAGAGGACGGTACCGTCATGTACACTCAGCACGGCGCCGTCCCGGGTTTAACGCGGATAGCTACAGTAGACCTCTCGGCAGTTTGCACATCATTTTCCACAAGTAACGAAATTACCCTCTTTCTTATGGCAGGGCGTAAGTTTAAGTTCCCACATTTGTCGGACCGGCAGAGGGATCAACCGTGCCCTGCCAGAAGAAATTCTGGGACAATTTCGCATGTCCACAGTCACCATAGGCCCTTGGCAACGATTTTCCCGCGAGGGTAGGGAGAACGAATTTCTCGGAAATCCTGTGGCTCGCGTGGCTTGCATGGTTTGCACTGCATGCACACCTCCTTCCCTCTCCCCGTCGACAAGGAACGTTGAGCGTTCGCTCAAGCGTAGTTCGTCAATTTGGACTGAGACCACACACCCCTTGTCACAAGGTTTGCCAGTGGACCACCTAAACCGAACAAATATTTAGAAAAGCGTAAAAAACAGAACACAACACAACCCAATAAACACAAAAGACCGTGGTGTTATCAAAACCCTGCGGGCTACAATACCACGTAAAGGATCGCTAGGGCACATCATGTTCCCTCGCGGTTCTCTTCGTGTTGGGTATGGAGGGTCTCTTCGCGGGAGGGGGCAGCCGGGCTATTCCATCTACTGCAACTACCGCAGAGGGAGGACACTGTTGAGGCGGCATCGTGCATCAAGCCCTTCAGGTGCGAGTGTTGGACCCCATAAACGGTCGTGACCGTGGGTATACAGCGCTCCCTCTAGACAATCAACAGGTAGCAGGTGGAAATGGCGCGAGCCTGTCTCACGTGCTTGAATGGCCGTGAATCCTATCATCAGGGTCCTCCAAAGTATCCACAACCACCACCATCCTGGCTGCCACAAAGTTCATTGCGATAGTTAGTAACCGTAGCTTCTAGGACTGGCGTGCGCGTCCCTTGTCCCGCCCCCACGTCGGCCGGCGGAGTATGACTGCCCGCCGGAGGAGTATGGCTGTCCGCTGCTGTAGCGAGAACACTGATGACTACCACTACTGTGATGGCTGTAAGAAGGTGACGGGGTTGGAGCCGGCTGGTGCTGGTCTCTGCTGTACGAGTGGTAACCTCCTTTCTGACCCCGTGATGACCCACCCCCGCTGTGCCTGTCACCTCCGCCCCTGCTGCTGCTGTATCTCTCCCCACGGTGGCCGCTGCTCCTGTGCCTATCCTCCACCCTCCTCCCGCCGCCGCCGCCGCTGCTGTCGCTGCCAAAGTTGCCTCCAGGGTGGTACGCCCGGTGAAGAGTGCCGCTGCTGGAGCCGCCATTGCTAACGGCGCCATTGTCACCCCACCTGGGGAATGATGATCGCGAGTCCGTCGGAGAAGCCATCTGGTGCTCGTACCGGTTGTGTGTGCCGCCGCGCTCTTGCTGATGTTGATGGTAACCTCCCCCATTGTGATGGCTGTTGTGGTTGCGGTGGTGATAAGGGGGCGACGGGGGACCGCTGAAGGCGGCAGCACCACCGTCCCGCCTCGTGGGTTGCAAGGGGCTGGGCGGCTGCGCAAGGTCGTTGAGATACGCGCTCGGTAGGTGCGTTGGCTGCTGCGCCCGATGCTGATGCTGCTGGCCGGACCCCATAGGATCGTTCCTAAACTTGCGGCTCCCGTGGTTCTGGCTCGGGCTGTTGAAGCTGAGGGTGTTATTGTTGCTTGCGGACCACTCTTGTTTCCAGTCCGCGGCAGGGACACGGGGTTGGTCATTGCGGTTGTAGTGGTTGCTACTACGCATGCCATGCAGCCCCAAGACGGACAAATTGAAAACGAGCCACGGAGAAAGGGGGATTCGTGATTCCAGTTGTGGTTTTTGGTTGTTACTGACGCTAGTCAGGGAAGTAAGATGAACGATAGTTCATTGTGGGTGGTATCTCGGCGCGTGTACTACGTCATCACGCTCGCTGGCCTTGTTAGGCCCCACCACAACAGCTATCCTTGGTCGATATATCCACACCAGGTGCTACCTCCGGAACCTTTCCCTGCCGACGTCAGCTGATTTCTCTTGGACCCCACCACAACAGCTATC